AGAATAGAATAGAAAAGAATTTTGTAAATTATATTTTTCCTTTGGGTCATATTTGCAGGAGCACATAGTTAAACACACCTACTCCGTAGTACATAGTTTGCCTGCTTATTTGCACATTTGAACCGTGTACTTGTTACATTCTTAGACGGTTTTCCGGCATCCTAGTCGGCATTATCTCTCTGTCTTCCCATACTTGACAACACTCTACATCTCGTCAAAGAGACAATTCAAGTCGATCATTTGAACAATTTTCCGCCAAACACTTGTGTTATCTCTCCTATATCTTCGTATTACCGATTTACTATAACAATCTCTCACGTGCTTATTTAACTTTGGTATGGCGTGACCTTTTCACATCTCACGAGTTAGTAAACTTATCCTTAGTCTCTCTTGATTCTGAAACCATGTATCTACTGAAGGAGATTTTTAATTTTTTACAGTTAACGAAAGTAATATTCTAGATGATCTTCTTCTGGAAGTTATTAGCATATCGGTTAAATATCCAGAAGAGACAAAGTGGCAAATGAAAATGCAAATAATCCCAAGGATCCTGACACATCCAAAACAGATACACGAGAGCCGATTAACTGGTATACGAGAAAAAATACTAAAGAATGATCAAATAGTTCTTCAGGCGGATAAGGGAGGAGCGACGGTTGTAATGGACAGGAAAAAGTACATGGAGAAAATAGAAAGTATTCCAGGCGACCTGAACACTTATCAAATACTAAGGAAGGATCCAAACAGTAAGATTAACAGGACACTGAAGAATATGCTAAAGGAAATGCATAATAATAGGAAAATTGACAGATGGATGATGAAATCTTTAAGCAAAATCTAGGCAAGACCACCGACAGCCTACGGACTACCGAAGCTACACAAGTAAGGAAATCCACTGAGATTAAGGGTTAACATCAAGCATGAAGCAATACACAAACTAGCGAAATTCATTTGCTTGAAGTTCAAGAAATTAAATGACAGACACTCGAATACCGTTAAGAATTTATATGGATTTTCTCAAAAGATCCAAAATATTGGATTAGCACAGACGGAAAAATATAGGTACGTTTTGGAGTACAATCCATGTATACAAACATCTCAGGCGAGAAGGCAGTTACATCCCAGCTGGAGGTCTTGGAACGAGAGAAGGATATCATGGAAGCAGAGCGGATATGGAAGGAGTCGTTGCCATGCTAATCACCCTGACAGTAAGTACTCTTCAACTGCAATATCTACGAGTAAATACTTGGACTACTAATGGGATCTACACGCCCATCTCTTTTGATAAATGTCTAAATGGGCAACTTGGAAAGGGAATTCGAAAAGTCAACACTGAAACCAAGAGTGCCTATGTGATACTTGGATGACTACTTTGCAATATGGTCACATTGTGAGGAAAATCGAGATAAATGCCTCAATTTCATTAACCAACTTGATGAAATAATTAAATTCACGATGGAGGTGGAGAATGATAAACGATTATACTTTCGTGGCTCCAAAGGGACATGCAGGAGGAGACTATACAGAAAGAATTCATATCCGGGAGTAATCCTTAATTGTCAGTCTCACCCTAATAACCGACTGAAGATCGGAGGTTTGATCAACAGAAGTTTACGACTAACGGACACTGAGTTCTGGGACGAGGATTTGGACAAACTGACACGGATTTGCCTTAGTAACGGGTACCCTCATATAATTTATAGAAAAAATGTAAAGGCTAAAAAGGGCAGATTTCAACACGGATTTTACGAAAATCTGATCAGGAATCAGGAGGACGACCAAAAGTGGATTTGCCTGTCCACATTTAAACTGTGCCAAAAATTGCAACTATTACTAAGTAAATGGAATATCAAGGCTATAACACAGGAGAAGACAACACTTTTCACCAGTCTGCCGACGCAACACGAGAATTCTGACAAACTTGAATGCTCGGGAGTTTATCGCATCAGATGCGGTATCTGTGAGGAGAAGTGTATCGGAGAAACAGGAAGAAAAATCGGCCTACGAATCAAGGAACATGAAAGACTCTGCAGGAACATGGATGCGCGAAGATCGGAAATAGTGGAAGACATTGCATGAAAGAGACACGAAATCGACATGAGATCGACAGAAAGACTGGCTGGTGAAAATACGAGAAAACGCAAGATCCGAGAGGCCATTGAGATACTGACTGAGAGAAATCTAATGAACAGGAAACTTGAAGAAGGCAGGATCAGCGAAAGCTTTGCATATTGCCAAAACAAACGAGGATAAAACCAGGCAACAGGAAGATCAACAAAAAGAGGATAGCTGGATCAAGGTAACATCATTAATTTAGAGATGAAAAATCTCAAAGAGAACAGAAAGAAACAATCGGAAACCACGAGGAGACGTCTTTAGGGAGTCTAATTAAAACAAAGGGAACCATAACATGTGTAAGTTGGCAGACAAGAGACTACGGCATAGGATATCAATGATTCAGCATTATGGGTTGAAGCACGATAGATTTGTCGGAGACGTAGTTTGGATAACGATATACGTGTTTGGTCATAGACGTGGTCCATGAAGCAAAGGCTTGGTGATGAGAAGTACTCGGGATCTATGGCCTCAAGTTAGCCTCCCAACCAGCTTGAGAGTCCAGAATTCGTGGACCTACTTAGCGAGACGGGAGTATAGGTGCCATCAAGGGTTTAAGGCAGAGCGTGGGAAATAACGCCCTGAATAGTACAGATAGGGTGGCAAGGGTCAAGTGAAATTCTTGAACCTCCGTGGTAAGAGGAAGACTCTGATAGGACTTATGGGAAGAGGATTTCGGACTAGCAGAGCAGACTGAGATCAACAGTCCCAGCAAAATGATAGGAGGATGGGGTGAGAAAGTCAGCGTGGATTGTGAAGAGATCTCATGGAATCCACTCGAAATGGCACATGATACCACATTTAAACAGGCAATAAATAAATTGTGATTGTGATGGGGGATACGAGGATATGGGATAAGTCAGTATCCCACAATGGAGACATACTACAACCTTTTATCAGACAATTGATCAAAGGATCGACTTCACCTGTCGCTGACGCGTTTTAATTTGGTGCTAAGACTGGCAAGGCTCTCTGGCGATGCCGATTAAGACGCCGGAGAAAAGTCTGAGAAGGTATAAACTCTTTTTTTTCAAATCTGGAAATTGTCATGCTTACTACGGACTCCGGACTGGATACACTCCTCTAAGTCTTCTTGCCAATACGACCAAGTTGCAAAATAAGGTCGAACAACTACTGTACAACGAAGGAGATTGCGACCATACAAAAGGTCACACTATCTTGGTCTTCATACCAATCAATAAATTAGTAATACTATTTACTAATTTATTCGAAGATGCTATGTTGTTTTTATCCAGTTTTTTACTCTCCCGCTTTCTCTGTCTTGCTTTATTTTTGTCGAAATTTTAGTCCTTTTTTAAGATCTTCTTCATTTCAGCCTAATAATATTTAGTGACCTGTGAAACTAGATGAGAGGGTAATTATGAATCGAACGAATTACGAATTGACCCGACCAGAATCTGTACACGATACTTCAAAAAGGATGCCCTCATAAACTGACGATGTACTGTACTATACACAACAAAGCTCACAGACCCATGCTGACTGCTTCTCGAAGGCATAGAGCTAGGCGGAGTTTTAAAAGCAAATAAAATCCCTAGTTAATCGACAAGCTTTGTGAGGGATGAAATCATTCGGAGCGGTGAGGTAAAATGAAGGCAGGACAAATAGATACAGACGGGAACAGAGGAAATAGGAAGAAGAAACAAAGTTTGACAGCCATACCTGCACTCCGTCGAAATTTTATGTAAATGCTTGTGCTCCATCGAGTAAATATACGTTGTGGTCTAGGCTTGGTTTTCTTTAATAATAATTTTTTCTCCGAAATTCAAGCTAACCTCATTTCTGGGTCTGCCTCCTATTGGCCAGTCTTCTCACTCAGATTGCAATAAATTGCAGTTTATTCTACGGAAAATTGCATGCCTGTATATAATTAAGACCAAGTTGTCAGCGAAATCTCTTAAGTGACTGAATAACCCGATTAATTATTATCCCACTTGAAGCCAACTGAACAAATTAAAAGTATTCATTTAAATTAATTGTAGGTGCAGTAACTAATCAAAATGTCTAACTATCCCTACTCATTCCTTCTTCAATCTTAGGTCTCGAACTCTGTACTGGAGATTGTGTTAATGTCAATGCGAATATGCAGAATCACCCGCCGTAGGAAAGAGCCTAATTAATGAAATATATGATCCATTCAACGGTATATGCATTTTTTGTTCATACGTGTGGTTTTGAGACATCCACTAAATCATTTGTATAAGATA